CGAAGCTACGGCTGCTAAAGACTTAATGAGTACTCATGCAAGATCAACAAGGGTAGCAGGAGAACTTTTTAAGTACTCCAGCCAGACCTACAAAGTTAGGAGACCTTTATAAGAACTCGACCTTGATCTACAAGGATGGCAAATTATCTATATAAATATTTAATTTTTCGTGAGTATCAGACGACCTCAGTATAATACCCTAAACACATAGTTTTGCAAGGTGGAGAAAAATAGTAGAAAAAAGTTCAATTCAAAACTGTAAGTCAAATTTAAAAAATCGCATGCGATAAGAAGTATGAACAAATTGAAAAAATGCAAAAAAAAAATCACTTTTTTACTGTCATTTTTTTACGAAATTATCCTGTTTTGGCAAGATACCATTCCGAATGGAATGTGTGCGAATGGAATTATGAAAATCTGGAGAATAACTTAATCTATTTATTTTACATATATATTGAACCTATTTTGCTTCACATCCGATATCTTGGCTATTAGCCTCACTATAATAGTCAAAAGTGACCTTTTTATGCATTTTGGCCGGGATCAAAAATATTCGCGGTTTCGTATTTTTTGACTTAAAGTTATGGTTCATTTTACCCGCTAAATATTGTCCAATTACCATCCAAATTGTTTAGCTTCTGTCCGGCCCTGAAATCTAGTTTCAAATTTCCGCGTCGATTGGTTCATAATTGTGGCCTTTGGCAATGCAAAATCAGGAAAATTCTCTTAGTTCGTTTCAACCCCTAAATATTGTGTGATCATCACCAAAAACAAAGGGTTCTAATCTGACCCTATCCCCACCTCCATTTTCAATTTAGTGAGGATCGGACTATAAATGCGACCTGTAGAGTGATTACAAATTGACATGGACAGACGAACGGATATACATAGGTAGATCGACACATGGCGTATTAGGCACAAACTGTATCCATTGCGAACATCAAATACCAAAGTTAAGACAACTCCATTGAAAAATCTGAATTAAGTCTTTCAGCCCTTACAGGCAATTTCCTACCAGCGAGTTTATTAACCATCACGAGTTTCAAATGCCGTTACGAGCTATGAGTTCCCGAGATTTTATAAACATTTATATCCATATAAACATATATAGAAAATGTTCCGTCGGAGCATAGGTTTGTATTCTAGTCAAGGTTATATATAAACTTTTTGGATCTCAAACGGTTATTGCGATGAAACGAAACGGAATGTCAAAGTTAACATAGGAGGGTATGAAGAGACAAACTTAGTTTCAGTCAAGCCTAAAAATATGCAACACTTATGGGTTTCAATTAGCCGTCAAAATGGTGAGTTTCAATTAATTTAATTTTTCACATTTATTTATTTTATTCATGATGATTTATTGAAAAATCAAAACTAGCTGACGTCATGCGTTGAAAAGGGGGATATGGTTATAAAGATGTATAGATAGTATAAAGACCTTAAAAACTTTGACCTAAGAACCCAAGACTTTTATGGGGTTTTGATCTATAAGCCGAGTACTATCTACTACAAATAACCCCACTTGAAATTTTCCACAAATTTTATTGGACAGTGACATTAAAAAAACATTTGCAGCGAATTCGGATAAAGTAGTAATTTTGGTAAAAATTAAAAAAAAAAGAAAAAACGGTTTATTATACCCTTCAACCCTATATGGGCTAGCTATGTGTGTCGGACGACGACAGACGTCCATATAATAACACTACATGACCAAATTATTAAATTCTTGAGAGGTCACAATTATAGACCAATCGACTCAGAAAATTGCATAGGGCTAGAGTTTATAGTTTAGGACAGAAACCTACCAATTTTTATGTTTATAAATAGCGGTTGAAATAGACTATAACTTTTCTGCAACAAAAAAAATTCAATCCTCACGAAATCAAGCGTGCAGGTGGGTTTAGGTTCATAATAAAAGTTTATTGTTTTTGGAGATAATCGCAAAATACCGATACCGATTCGGATTGTCATCGGACAATATATAGCGGGTATTTTGACATATTTTGTATCGCATGTGATTTTTTCAATTTGACTAACTAACTACGTCACAATTAACCAGTAAGGAAAGCTCAAAAGTCGGGCGGGGCCGACTATATGATACCCTACACCACTATGCATATTTAGTAGAGCTCTCGTAAAAAGGTTTATACAGAGCATTTCAGAGCTCTATGAGATATTTGGTACAAAATCAAAATCTATCTAATTCTATCGTGCATTTTACGAACTATAGCTATATCTGAACCGATTTTCACCAAGTTTGATGTATTTGATTCTACGCTGAATTCCGTCAGATTTGCCAAAACCCAGGACATTTGGGCTGATATTGGACATTTGGTGCGCAATCAACACGAAATTGGATGAAGATATATATAGGAGGTATATCCAAATCTGAACCGATATTTGTAAAACTGAAAAAGAAGATATTTCTTGGCTGCATCTGATACCAAATATTATTCTTGTATCGTACATTTTTCGAATTTGAGGGACTTAAAGTACAAATCGGATGAAAGGTATATATAGGAGCTATAGCTGTATCCGACCGATTTTCACTAAATTTGATGTACCAATATTAGCCATTTGCTGCACATTTAATCCGAAATCGGATGAAGATATATTTGGGAGCTATAGCTATATCTGAAACGACTTTTACTAAAATTGGTGTCCTTGCCTCTAGGCTGAATTTGGCCAGATATGCCAAAATTCATGTCATTTCGGTTGATATTGGCCATTTGTTGCACAATTAACTCGAAATCGAATGAAGATACATATGGGTGCTATATCCAAATCTGAACAGATTTTGAGAAAATTAAAATCGACTACTTTTGGGCTTTATCTGATATCTGGTACCAAATATCAGTCCTTTGAAGAGTATGCTATGCTATACTATATCCAAATCTGAACAGATTTTTATAAAATCAAAATCGACTATTTTTGGGCTTTATCTGATATCTGGTACCAAATATCATTCCTGTGAAGAGTATATTACGAATGTAAGGGACTTAAAGAGCAAATCGGATGAAACATATATATGGAGCTAGAGCTATATCTGAACCGATTTTTACTAAAATGTGTGTACTTGCTTATAGGCTGGTTTCGGCCGGATTTGCCAAAATTCATGCCATTTGGGCTGATATTGGCCATTTGATGCACAATTAACCCGAAATCGGATGAAGATATATATGGGAGCTATATCCAAATCTGAACCGATTTTCTCCAAATTTGTTGTATTTACTTTAAGGCTAATCTCTGTCACATGTGCCAAAATTCGGGCCATTTGGGCTGATATTGGCCATTTGGTGGTCAATTAACCCGAAATCGGATGAAGATATATATGGGAGCTATATCCAAATCTGAACCGATTTCGATAAAATTTAAAACAGCTATTTCTGTGCTCCATCTAATACCTGGTACCAAATATCACGGTTGTGGAGTGCATAGTAGGAATGTGAGGGACTTAAAGATCAAATCGGATGAAAGATATATATGGGAGCTATAGCTATATCTGAACCGATTTTCTCCAAATTTGATATACTTGCTTCTAGGCCGAACCCGGTTGGGTGTGCCAAAATTCAGGTAATTTGGACTGATAGTGGACATTTGGTGCTCATTTAACCCGAAATCGGATGAATATATATATGGGAGCTATATCTAAATTTGATCCGATTCTCACCAATTTCAATAGGGTTCGTCCTTGGGCCAAAAAAATATTGTTTGGAAAATTTCATCTCAATCGGATAATAAATGCGACCTGCATTTTGTTCACAAGAATACATGGACAGACGGACGGACGGACGGACGGACAGACGGACGGACATGCATAAATCGACTCAGAAAGTGATTCTATGAAGGTTCTCAAAAGTAACTATGGGTCTATCTCGTTTCCTTCTCCTTGTTACAAACAAATGCACAAAGACATAATACCCTTACCACTATGTGGTGTAGGGTATAAAAACTAATCGACACGGAATTTTGTATGAGGATGACCATTGAATCAAATTTAGCGGGTAAAGTGGGTTAGGGCCGGAATAGAGGTCTATTGTTTTGGGGAGATGTTCGCAAACTATTTATGGCCTTAAATGAACAAAAAACATGAAAATTGTCTAGAGTTTGCAGTTTTCAACTAAGACCCATAGATATTGAATTTTTACATGAGCTTTTGCAGGTCTATGTGAAATTATTTCAAGAATGAAGTGAAAAAAAAAATCAGTATGAAAGGAAAACAAATAAAAAATGAATACCCTCCAATATTTGGAACAAATTTGGCAACCTTCAAAAAATAATATCCATAATATCCATTACGAACTTCAAACACCAAATTTGAAAAAAATTGTCCCTAAAATCATCGAAATACCGGATATCAGGAGGTGCCGTTATAAGGGGGCTATACGAAGGACCTTTATAGACAATTTTCTGTCGTAGGCTGTAGTATGCATTAGGAACTTTAGGTACCGAATTCCGGTGAATGATGTCGATTAAAATACCAAAATACCGAAAATAGGGAGGTACAATTATATTAAAGATTTTTAGAGGTGGTATGTTTTTGAGAAATATTTAATTCAGATCTCCGACGATTATTTGAAAAGAGGAGCAATTATGTTCAATATTTTGTAGCAAATATGGGGTTATTTCTTAAGCGAATCTTCATTGTAGCCAAAAGGGTTACAGACCTGCAGAGACTTCACAGCAACATTTTAGTGTTGTAGGGTATCAAATGGTCGGTCTCGCCCAACTATAGCCTTTGCTTACTTGTTGTTAATGAAAAAATGCTAAGAGTCGATTCTTGGTATTGACTACTTACAAAATTTCAAAGCTTACGCCGAGCAGCAATTCCATTGCAACTCTTTCAATGGGTATTCGAAATATTTTACGGTTAAAAGGAATTAGTTTTTCAATCATAATCAGAAATAGCTATTTATAATCCATTTGGAAAATTATTTCATTTTTTCTGTTTCGATCTAACGAATGAAAAAAATCAAATCTCACTCAAATTTTCGTTGTATAAAAAAGTATTTAATTATTTTATAAATAAATTATATAAAAAGAATAAATAATAAATATAAATTAAATAATAAAATTACTGCAATGGAACACCATAGAGTTCGTGTTTGGGTCCTTCGGACTCAAGGTTGGATGAACTAGATGAAATACTGCTCGAACTGGTACTAAAGCTGCTGGTGCTACTACTGCTGCTGGCACCACTGCTAAGACCACCGGCTCTAATGTCAATGCCACCTGCACTACCGCTATTATCAATCAAATTTGAGAAATCAATTTGATCGGGACTAATGCCATTCGAATTGGCCAAGTACTGTTGGACGGCATCGCCTTCCTTTTGTGTCTTGTATTTAATGAAGTACACTTCGGGTTTGGAACTCTTGTAGTTGTCCTGGGTCAGTTGTTGTATTTGTTCCAGCGATGGTTCTTCGGGTTTCTTGGTCAGCACATAAATGAGGGTCTTTTCCTCAACCTTGGGTGCTGCAGCGGCAGCCAATTGACTGTAATTTGGTGTGTTGTGGGTGGGGGCTTTGATGAACACAATTTTGTAGTGTTTCTTGGCGGGTGGTGCCACAAATTGTGGGGCAATTAGAGATTGTTGCTGATCACCTTCCAAGTCCTCGGGCGGAATGTGTACATAAATGTGTTTCTCTGCTGTGGGATCCAAGGGGGCCTGGGCCACGGTTTCACGTATAACATTGCCCAATTGTCCGTTGAGACCATTGGCTCCCAAGTTAGAGGAGGAGAAAGTGGAGAGGAGTTGGGAACTGCCTTGAGCTGAACCACCTTGAAGATGGCTAACAAAGTTGCCAGATAAATCAGAGCCGGAGGCGGAGAAGTGTTGTTGGCCACCAAAGCTTGCAGAGTGACCACCGGCAAAGTTTCCAGCGGATGAGTGGGAGCCAGAGAATTGTTGTTGACCACCAAAGTGTGTGGCAAGACCGCCAGCAAAGTTTCCTGAGGATGCGTGGGAACCAAGACTGCTTCCAATGTTTCCGGAGGCTGAGTGTCCAGCAAACTGACCACCATGTTGTTGTCCATTGAAGTTGCCCGAGGTTTGGGTGATATAATGTCCAGCGATTTGTTGTTGTCCCCCAAGGAAGTTTGAGGATTGTTGGGCTCCACCAATAAATCCTGGTGCTGTTAGTCCAGAAGGCAATGGTTTATATTGTGGTGGTGGGAAGCTTTGAGAGCCATGTAGTTGTTGGACACCGCCATTGCCCTGTTGATAATTATAGCCTTGGCTATGTTGATTGGCACCTGAGACAAATTGTTGTTGACTAGCAGAAGAACTAAAGCTGTGGCTATGTCCGACTCCAGATCCAGCTCCGGAGGAGATTGTGTGACTATGTCCAGTCCCGGCTCCGGAAGAAATTGTGTGACCATGTGCCGACAATGGTGGTGGAATTTGTGTCAATGGAAGGCTTTGAGGTGGACCATGGGACACCGGAGACAATGGAATGTAATTCACGGAAGGTCCCGATGAAGATACGCCTCCACCTTGGGTGTAACCCTGACCGGCAACAAATTTATTTGTTTGACTCTGGAAGCTGCTGGAAGCCACTTGATTGGCCACCCCAATCTGTTGGCTATAACCACTGGCTGCTGTTTCCAAATTATGTTCACCTGCTGCGGCTCCTGCTGAGGCCTGGGCCTTGTTGACAATTCTGGCTTGAGTTTGGGCCTTTATCAGAGCCTTGGTGGCCTCATCAAAATTATAGCCGGTAAACCCATGGGTACAGGGTTTTGGCTGTGTGGGCAGATTCCCCTTTTCTATTACTGGAGCAGGTTCACGATATTTGTATCCATCTTGGGCCGCCAAAATGGGCACGGCCAAAACGGCGCAAAATATTACCAAGCCACGCATATTTCGCGATCAAGAAACTGAGCCGATTTCGTTTTCGTTAATTTCCCGAACTGCTTGTCCACTGGGAACAGTTGGTTGCAAACTGATCCGTTCCGAAAAGTTTTAAAACTATTTATGCCTTTGTAAATAATAAACGGTCCAAAGAAAACGGACACAGAGTAACCGGCAAATGCAAGAAAACCAAAAGTGAGAGGTTGAGTGCCGAGCCAGATTGCCTCTGCCGATCAAGGCAAGTGTTACGACATCAAAGTGTGGCGTTTATTGTAAATAAACGCTGCAGCTCTGCTGGCGCAGGCGTCAGGGCGTAATAACCCTTGGTTTATTGGTTGGGTGCGTTGAATATTGACCGTGGTCGTGGTTGCCACTGTCGTATTTCATATCAGTTCGAAATTGATCAGCATTGACTGCGATAGACAAGCAGCCAGGGAGACAAAGAGCTGGCTGCCATCATCTTGGCTTGTTGAGATGTTAACTTGTTGTAAATCAGCCAGTCAGTCGGACAACCAACCATTCACACAATTACCTGGGCAAGGTGATAAGTTTTTCTACCGGGAAACCGGTTTATGACGCGTGCTTAAATGTTGGCTCTTTTACCTGGTGGCATGAGAAACATCCACCAACACCACCACCACCAACTCTGAGGGAACTGTGTATCTGGGTGACATGGGATGCCCAACAAAACAGTTTTGTCAATGATTAAGCGGTGGTAATGAGCCACAGCGCATGTCTGTCTGACTGTCTTGTGGACGCTCTCTGTGGGACTGCGTGAGCGAGTAAAAGATTTTTTACGCGCCCTAGCTTGTTGATGAATCGCACACTTTCACTCACCATTTGTAATGACAATCAAAACAAAGCAGAAGTCACGCAGTGAGGGGGAGTTAGAGGTAATTAATGATTAAGAGGCAATTTAAACATTAAAAAAAATAAATAAAAACCAATTTAATTTCTTAAAAAATGCGTAAAAAAGCCCTCCTAAAACTCACCCAACTACGCCCCTGAAATCATTGATAAAAAACCCAAACTCCAATGACATAATCTGTGTTTTGGACAAAAAACAAAGCCCCAAGATTTATCAGCTGTTCTTCTTTATTTTTGAAATGGTTTTCTTGTGGCAGTCAGGCTTTTGTTCCATTTAATTTTGTGGCCACAAAAAACAAGCAATTATGTAACTGTATTTCATTCATTCACTGCTACCCACAAACATTTTTTAAATTTTATTTTTTGTTTTTTTTTTTCTCTCTCCATTTCTTCAACGATTTACAACACATTTCGCATCTCGCCAAAATTTATTTATGCAAAATTTTGCCATCGGCGGACTTATATTTGTTTTGTTAGTTTTTTTTTTTGGCAATATTTGTATAGAATTTGACGTATTCACCAGGTATTTCATATTATTATCTAATAGATAGTTTGGGTGTCGCAAAAAACCAAAAAAGTTACCCAAATAAAAGACACTGCCTTAATTCCAGCTGTTTTTGGTATAATTAGGTTGATCGTTAATTTGGCAACATTTTGAGGCGTGTGCTTTGGCACAGTCTTCAATATGCAAATTATTTGCTTTACTGACTTTTTGTTTTGTTTTCTTCGAAAAGGGAATTGGTTTTGAATTTGGAGCAAGAGGTAAGTGTTTTGGAAATGGGAACTCCAAAATGATGGGAAATAATGTATGATGATCTCGTAGCGGTGGGAATCTAATTTTACAGTTTTGTCATCGAAAATCGATCTATTAAATGAAATGTGGAATATGTAATGAATTAGAGATTTTCGTAATTCCAATATCTTACGGCTCCGTTTTAGTGGAAGAATACCACCCAACTGAATTGTACAAAACATTTTTGAGATAACTTCCTCCTATTTCTTAGAACGATACCAATCGCAATAAGTTTTGAAAATATTACAATTTTTGTAAAAAAGGAATCGGAAGTAGGCAATCAATCATTATGTTGGGGTAGGAATATTTTTACTTAATCTTATAATAAGCTAATTAATACATTTGAAAAAATATATATCCGAGCCCTCATAACTAGCCAAGGTTGATTAAAGGAAGATTTAAAAAAAAAGTAAAAAAACTGAAAGTTCGGCCGGGCCGACCATTTGGTACAAATTTGACAATTTTCAAAAAAATAAAATCCGTTAAAAATTCTTTTGAAATTATAAAAATGTCAAATGTAGCCGTATATTAGTGTCTATACGACGACGTGGACCTGCATAGGCAACTTTTGTCATAAGCTATTACAATATTCTAATACGAAACTTGAAAAAAATCTGTTTACAATTTAGTTAAAATCATCAAAATACCGAATATAAGGAGGTACCATGGGGGTTATAAAACGTGGACCTGCACAGACAATTTTCAGGCATAGGCTGTAGTATCCATTACGAACCTCAAATACCCAATTTGAAACATTTCTGGTGAAAAATGTCGTTAAAATCATTAAAATACCGAATATCGGGTGGTACCGTTATATGGGGGTTACACGAAGGCATGGACTTGCACAGACAATTATTTGTCTTAGGCTGTAGTATCCATTACGTACTTCAAATACCAAATTTGAAATAGTTCCTGTAAATAATGTAGCTAAAATCATCAAAACACCGAGTATATGGAGGTACCATGGGGGTTATAAAACGTGGACCTTCACAGACAATTTTCTGTAACAGACTGTAGTTCCCATTACGAACTCTAAATACGTAATTTAAAACTACTCCGGCAAATAATGACCCTAAAATCACACAATTTTCTGTCATAGGCTGTAGTATCCAATACGAACTTCAAATACCAAATTTTAAACAATTCCGGTGAAAAATGTCGCCAAAAACCATTAAAATACTGAATATCGGGTGGTACCGTTAAATGGGGGCTACACGAAGGCATGGAATTGCACAGACAATTTTTTGTCTTAGACTGTAGTATTCATTACGAACTTCAAATACTAATTTTGAAATAATTCCGGTAAATAATGTCGCTAAGATCATTAAAATACCCCATATCGGGAGCTACCATTATATGGGGGCTATACGAAGACGTGGACCTACATGGCCCACAAAAGTCCTGCAGACATAATACACATTTGAGTAAATTTTTATCAACTTACTTAATTTCGTTCGGAAGCTAGAGTGATTTCCACAGACGGACGGATATTGCTAAATTGACATAGAATTTTATGCCGATCAGGAATATATATACTTTGTTGGGTCTAAACTGTATATTTTGAAGTGTTACAAATCGAATGACAAACTTAATATACCCTCCATATTATGGTGGAGGGTATAAAATATACGGTAAGAAGAGATCAAAAGTCAGGTGCGACCGACTTTATGATATCCTATACCACATTTAAATGTTATAGTTTGAAACCGAAATGAACTAATATATGGGAGGTATATCCTGCTCTGAATCGATTTCCTCTAAATTAAGCGGAGGGATTTTTGTCTCTCGACTCTGAGAACACGTAGATTAAAACATGTATGTCAGCTATATCTGAACCGATTCCATCCTGATATTAAACATTTGGTGCACAGTAAATGTGAAATAGGATGAAGGGGATATGGGAGCTATACCCAAATTTTAACCGATCTACATAAAATGAAGCAGAGTTATTTGTCTGCTGCGTGGAGTGTATTTTACGGTTGTGAGGGATTTAAATATAAAATCGGATGAAACATATATACAGGGTGAGCTGAAAAAAACTGCAAACAATTTCGGACTGCTGTCACTTCTAAGCCACTCGCCCTCAGCTGTTATAATTATTCCAGCGACTGCTCATTATATTGTTTACAAACGTACAAAAGCATTTTGGTGAGAATTTTCCAGAAAAAAAGTTATTCGTGATGGATTTCAAGCGTGATAGTGTGATTTCTTTATATTTGACTGGAAAATCATATGTGGGTATCGTTAGAGCACTCCAGCATTTAAATGTGAATAAATCTTTTGTGTCTCGTACCACCGCTCTTTACCGTGATACTGGTAGCATAGCCTGAAAGGAAAAAAAGGCGACTTGATCGAAACCCGCGTCGCAGTGACCGAAAATGGCTCGTGAGCTGAACATATCGCAATATTCCATTCCGCAAATATTGAAGAATGAGCTCGGGGTAAATTCATTGAAATTCCAAAAAGTGCAAGTACATACACCACAACAGAAAGAAAATAGACTCAAAAGAGCTAAAGAGTTGCTACTCTTGGCCGAAAGTGATGCACTGCCGAATTTGGTTTTCTCCGACGAAAATCATTCGTTGTCCAGCAGTTTGTAAACAAACAAAATTATCGTGTTTACCTTCCAAAGAAGTCAGCTGAAAATGTGCACCTTCGGTTGGCCACAAGAACTCAACACAGCCGATGATCACTCTCCGCTCATATTAATCGACCGAAGCATCAGAATAAATGCCGAATATTATCGCGAAAATATTCTGGAGGGCCTTGGGCACTCAAAGATTTTTGCCGCAGACCTTGGACATTCCAACAGGACTCAGCACGCGCCACCCAAGAATTGTTACAAAGTGAGGTTCCTCGCTTCATTTCCAGCACACAATGGACACCAAAATCTCCGGATACCAATCCGTTGGACTATTGTGTCTGGAATATTTTGGAAAGCAAGGTTGGCAATAAAAAATACCAAAGTGTCGATCACGTCAAGCAAGCGCTTCGCCGGGAATGGGCCAAAATGCCGCTGAGCAACATTCGAACAGCGTGTGACGGTTTCATTGGCTGTGTGAAGGCCATAATTCGTGCCAATAAAATTAAAAAAAAAATATGTAAAAATAACGGAGTTTTTATTTTATATTTTATCTCAACCTGTACTGTACATTTTCAACGGAATTATCTGGAATTTTGTATTTAAAGATTGTTACGGGTCCCTAACTACTTTGCAAAAGACTGTTAATATATAGCATTTTCAGATTAAATGAAACATTTTGCAGCGGAAATGAAACCTTTTGCAGTGGAAATTAAACCTTTTGCAGCGGAATTGAAACCTTTTGAAATGAAACCTTTTGCAACCGAAATTAAACTTTTTGCAAACCAAATGAAATTTTTAGATTAATAGAAGGAAAAATTACAAAAAATTTGTATTTTTGGTAGGTTTAAAATTAAATCAACTAATTATATCTAATATATAGTTAAAGAGGAATTTTTATTGATTATTAATATCTATGTTTTTAT